AGTTGCTTCAACACTTCCAAAAAATATTGGCTGTCGGTGTGTGAAAACCATCGTGTCATCAGCCTGGTAGCCGTGATGTCCAGGATATTCTCTAATTTAACCTTTCGTAGGTTTACGGAACACATGAGAAAATCCACGAAGGTCAAGCTGTTTTCCTACACCACAACACCTGACGCATCATCCGACGTCATGTGATGTTGAGGTCCGTGTAGACCGAGAGGCCTGGTGGAGCCCAAAGGCGGAAGAAATGGAAGATGGAAAGAATGCTGGAAAGTCCGCAAGCTGTTCCACTTGATTCGTTTGACTGGTCCTCGGAAACCTCTTGTTAGCAAAATAATCAGGGACAAAAATGGCTCCCTGGTATGCACCAAAGCAGAACGTTAAACCGTTGGACACAGTGCTTCGAGCAGCAATTCAGCTGGCCACCTGCCACCTACAATCCAGAATCCCGGCTTTCAACAGAAAAATGGACCGTGAATATGGAGCCGCCTTCAGCCTCATAAGTGTCCAAGTATATTTATCTACTCAAGCGTCATCGTGCTGCTTATCCTGACGACCTTCCACCTGCTCTTTTCAAGGATGGCGGTGGACTTCTTAGCCAGTGTTTGTCTAGCCTATTTGGGTCTATCTGGGAGAAAGAGGCCGTCCCAGGCAGCTGGGGTGAATCGATAGTAGTGCCCATTTTCAAAAGGAGTGCTCTCAGTGAATGTAGTAACTACAGAGGTGAGTTTTACTCCTGCTGTGACAAGGATTCTGGCTTCATTGATTCTTCATCTTCTTACGGTGGCACGCGAAACCCTGACTCGCGAGAACCAAGCGGGATTTCGACTGCGTAGATACTGCGTTGACCACATCTTCACACACCTTCAGGTGCTAGAGCAACGGCACATGTACAGACGACCCATAATCTTGGTATTCCTTGACTTTAGGGTGAGTTGGATTCTGTTGATCAGTCAGTGTCGTTACGTGCACTTGCCCAACAGGGTATACCCCAGAAGTTTGTGAACATAATCCGATCTCTGTATTCGCGTGCTTCTGGGCGAGTGAGAGTGTATGGTGAGTCCTCCAAAAGCCTCCCTACAGAAAGTGATGTCCGGCAAGGATGTCCACTCCCTCCATTCTTGTTCAACTTCACCATTGATGAAATGTTGAGGCGAACGATGGAAGGTCTTCAAAACCCTAATTTTCAACTGGTTGCTAGTGAGAGCCTTGTCGATCCGAAGTACGCATATGATGTTGCCCTCATCTTTGAAGACCGAAACGAAGCACAAGCCCTGTTGAATAGACTGACCACCACCATAACATCTTTTGGCGTGCGCCCTGCACCTACAAGTTGCAGAGTCAAACTTCAGAACGTGCGGTCTCTGAACATATCCCTTGAAATTCAAGGAGAATCACTGGAGATTGTGAAACATTTTACATACCTTGGTAGTTGAATCACCTCTGATGAAAATGTGTCTGGTAGAGTCAATGCAAGAATCTCAAAGGATCGAATCACGTTTGCCAATTTGTGTCACTTGTGGCGTCAAAAGGGCGTCATTAAATCTTGAGAGTCGTGTGTACCAGACTACAGTAAGGGCTGTGTTGTTGTATGGGTGCGAGACATGGCCTCTGAAGACAGATGATATGAGTCGTCTTCAGGTTTTCGACCCCCGATGACTGGTTTTGGATGGCGTCAGCGTGTTAGTAACGAGGTGATTAAAAAACGGACAGGTACTTCAATCGGGAAAACATCCAGAACCACCGACTACGATGGCTTGATCATGTGCTACCTACACCGAGACACTGTTACCGAGGCGAGTGTTGTTCTCCGTGCCTCCTTCAGGATGGTGCAAACCGCGAGGTAGACGACAGATGGCTTGACAGAAAGGCGTGAAAGAGATCACGAAGAATTTGGGTGTTGTTGGTGTTGTACGTCTTCCAGGATGGGGTCCCCGTGACCCCGTCTGTCCTTGACTGGAGGCGTTGCAAGAAATGGCGGCTAATCGATGTCAGTGAAGTTCGTGTTGTCACTTTTATTCCAGATTGTCCGATTTAGTGGTTAGAGGTGTAGGCACCTCAGAATGCTTGACGTAGGCCAGCATTGGGTCACCTCCCGCACCCACTCTTTTTCTCTTCTTTCCACTCTAAGGCTTTAAATATAATTATATATATATATATATATATATATATATATATAT